AAAAAAAAACTGAACATCTTCCTCTGTGTTTTTGTCCTGTTTTCCGATACAAATGTGTAAACATCCTTAATTCAAGATACATTGACTTGAGATGCAACATGAAGAGCTTAAATCTTGTTTTCTGAGAAACTGGACAAAATTAGGTGAGTTTATGCTCAAAACAAGAACAAATATGGGATATGAAAACTAGTTTTCCCTTTGAATTAAGATGATTTTTCTGACCCCATTAGCAGATATTTGTTCTTGTTTTAATCATCAACTCAATTCATTTGATCGATTTCACATGTCATTTTGTTTCTCAAATAAATGTTTCTTGAGTTAAGAATTTTTAGACATTTGCTCTGGAAAATAAGAACATACTGCCATATAATATTCCCTTCATTTTCCTTAATTGGTCTTACATAGGTCTTAAATTTATCTTCTTAAATCCTGCAGAAACCCTGCACGTATTCTGATTAAATCAATTTGTTGCAAGCAACACATTTATTCAAAATAGTTGTCTTTATTTTATAATAGATGCTTTAGTGCCAGGTTAGTCTTATATGCTGTCTGTGACCTCCCAGCTCAGGATAGCTGAATTAAGCTGTTAAAAATATTACTTCAAATGTGAACAGAATCATATTTTCAGTGTTTTTACAAAGTGTACATCTGTGCATGCTGATATTTCCCACAATCCTACACTACAGAAGAGTTTGCAATGGTTCTCAGTAAAACCTTTTTCCAGTTTAACCTGGTTTATTATTTTGTTCACTATGGTACTTGTATGCAAATGACACGTGTTTATTACTAGTGCTGTCAAACGATTAATCGCGATTAATCGCATCCAAAATAAAAGTTATACATAATAAATATACACAGTACACACACATATGTATAACTTTTATTTTGGATGCGTTTAATCGTTTGACAGCACTATTTATTACATTGTTATTAATCAGTGGCGTCCTCTAGTGGTGGTGAGTGAAATCAGCGTTCCTCTCTTCTCGTTCATGAGTAATTTATTCCCACGTTTGTATGTGTATTTGTCAGTGTACAGCAGGAACGATGAGTCTCATGCTGTAAATGTTTCTCTGTTATAAGCTAATTTGTGTTTATTATGAGAAATGGTAGGCAAGTATGTGTCAAGTGCAAGTATGCAAATTAAGATTTTTCTCTTAAACTATAATTACTCAGACGCCTAATTAAGAATTCACTCGAAACCAAATTACAGCTTCATTCACTCAACTTTGATGACTAAATCTAGTTGTTTTGGTTTTACTTCATTTTATTGCTTGTTAACAATAGGTCTTTTTCCACCGTAAAATAGTAACAGAAAGTAGGCTATATTTTACATAAAGAAGATGAAAGCTATTTCTTGTCCATTAAGCACGTTTTACTCTCAAATTTTCATAACTGTAATACACAAAATTATTTAAATGATAATGTACAATTTTATTAATATTTTGAACTCATTTTTTAAACTATATATTTTTATTAATTAAAAAAAATGTAATTTATAACTAAACTGTAACTAAAATAAAAGCTTTAGTTTTTAGTTGTAGTGCTTAATTGAAACGTAAATTAAAATGAGAAACATAAATAAAATAAGTTTAATATTTGATGGGCAACTTTTTTGATTAAAGTGTTGCGTTTATAATTTTGTTCAGTGTATATATATATATATGATATTTTTATGGTTGCCTTATTTTTTAATGCATTTTTTACAGTAATTTTTAATCCGCATAAATTAAGTTTATTATATGCATTAAAAATTATGACAATTTAAATAATGCAGTTATTTTGTTTTTCACATTACAGTAGACCTCTGACTCTCTAAATGTAATGTTTTGTTCTTTCTTTGTATTTTGAGGTGAACTGCAGTATGACCCAAACACGTTCCTGACCGCTTTCATGAGACTCAGCCTTGCACAAACCTACGAGAGCTGCTTTACTCATTCACTGCTGACAGTTCATGCCAACTCCAAAGGTCAGAAATTCTCAACATGCACGACTGAAAAGATTTTAAACCCACACTTTTAAAAGAGGCTTTCATGCATGAATGTCGTTCATCAGCACATATCCACACCTACTGATACATTTTTTATTTGATTTGGGAAAAAAACCTATTAGGCTAATAAATGTAAGAATTACAGTAAATAAAAAATAAAAGTAAGGTCTTGTTTGTTTAAATTAGTTAATGCAGTAATTTTTTACTATTAATATTAATTAACGTTACTAAAGAAATTATTTATTAAATATTTTTACAACAGTTGTTCATGTTCATTCACAATGCATTAACTATGTTAACAGATGCAAATTTTGATTTAAAAAAATGTTTTGAAGATAACATTAAGATTATTAGATGCTGTAGATGTATATTGTTCATTATTAGTTCATTTTAAGTAATGTAGTTTACAAATGAGACCTTTTTTAACAAGGCTATATTTTGTGCATTTATTCGTACATTTTTAATGCATTTGTGACATTACTTTCTTGCAAAATTCTCACTACTGTTATGTAAGAAAACATTTATCATAATGCATCCAAAATGGTTGAGATTCCCTGTATTCTCACTGATGATTAATGCAATATTTGTATTTAAATCAGCAAAAATCAAGGGCAGGACAACAAACCAGGAATTATAAAAAACTTCACAATCTCTATAGGTGTTTTGTTTTAAAATAATGACAATCTGGAGTTATAAAAAAGGTCTTTGAGCATCATGAAAATGTTAATGGTGTTCATTGTCTTCAGTTCATGTTGATCTTGACAAGTTTTCATGAGATTGTGCCTCATATCTTGCGTTCTGCAGAGGTGAAGGGCGAGGCGAGCATATTTCCAGCGCCGTAGAGTAAAATGTGTGTGGAACGACATGAGAGTCTTGTCTGATCGCAGCTGAAGGTGTGCTTCAGACTTTGCTGACACTAAAAGTGAAGTGTGCTGACAAGATGTAGGCGGCTGATAGGTTTCTGAGCTTTAAACGACGAGACCTCCGCCATAAACCATCAGTCAGCCCACCCACCCTCTGCTGAGAAACACATACTTTCACAACACACACATCGCCCTCACTGTGTGCTGATAGGTTTTTATTGTTTATGTCATTACACACTTTCACCTCTGGCACACATCAGGCAGCGCTGCATTCTTTAAACGCTGCTATTTGCTGCTAATAAATGTCATTGTTACGGGCGGATGCTCAGATGACAGACGCTGAGAGCTCGTATACAGCAGGTTCAATGCTGGATAATCATCAACGTCCACTCAGACGAAGAAAATATGCAGTTCTCTAAAAATATTTTAATGGTTAAAAGAATGTTGCCATGTTACTAGATACCAAAATTCCAGTAAAATTTCGCTATTCTTTTAATTTTACTACCACAGCAA